GATGAACTTAAATGCTCAATTAATATTTTATCGCTCTTTCAATTATGCCAAGTTTCATTTCATTGGTTTTCCTAGATAGGACACCTGGAAGAACCTGCTGAATATTTGAGATAAAAGCATCCAAGTGAAAACAGTACTTGAGTACATTCAGTTTACAGAGTAATAGATTTACACCAAACTCAGTAATGTTACTGGTATTGAAGTATAAAAACAGCTGTTCTCTAGAAAGAATCAACAACAACAAAAAAACGCATAGCCTCATTCTTACCATCTGTAGCTTCAAGAACATATCCTAAAACCTTCTCCAAAATTGTGAATGTGGTTCAGAAATACCAGTATGCTTTTGCCTCACGATACTCACATTTTCTGTATTTAACCAAGGATATTATAAGACACATCCAGAAAACTGAGGGGAAGCAGAAACTAAGACAACGCAAATAGCATGAATATCCTAAAGGATGGCATTAAGTAAATTATCCTGTATTTCATTGCCTATTCAAAGATGCCAAGGGCATCATAAAATAAATGAACATTTCTGCCCATCCTGACATAACATTCCCACCTCCACCATATCCACATCCACCTCTGCTATGGCAAATGCAGCACAAACACTGATTTAAACATCCTTAGTGGTAGTTATGTATTCTGCATTTTACCTGGGAGGCATACCAAACCTACGTTTTAAGATTTTATTTTAGGTATCTGCATCTCAGGGCATCTTCTGTAGATCTTAAATAATACAGCAGAGCTTCAGTTCCTGTGGCATGGCAAGGGGGCAGCGGAATTCAGGCAGGCAGTTCAGTTTGGTAGAGCTGGACAGTTTAGTTTATAATTCAGAGTCCTCAGGTTTTGGCATTTAAAATGCCTTGAGTTGATAGGTTTCTGCTCCAGTGAGTGTGTGGCAAGCTATGAGCAGCCTGATATGCTCATACATGAAGCAGACATGTCACATCTAATTGACATTACACCCTCTTCAAAATTAGATAACTGTAAAGCATAATTATTTACTTAATAATAGATATATCATTATGGTTTAAGAAATAGAAATAGCTTTCTTCTTGATCGCAGCAGTGCACAGTGGCATGATGAAGGAGCTATGGACTGTTAAGAGCCCATGGCTATTTTGTTGTAAGGACCCACAGAAGCCAGAGTGAAGTGGTAACTATTCACTGCCCACAGGAGAGAAAAGCCTGTAAGCTCTAACTGCCACCTAAAAGGATTCTACTTCATTTGACATACTTTACAGTATAAACCAGGGTCACAATAACTGGATGGTTTGAGGTGCAATGTTGATACCCAGCCTAGATGCTGGTACACACTTCTAGAAGCCTTTTCCCTTCAATGGAAGCAAATTTTTTTTTTCTGTCTTGAGAAGCCATGACTGAACTTGCCAAATACCCCAGCCTAGCTTTTTACCCAGCCTAGCGTGGCTCCAACACCAGGCCACTAGAAAAAAGTGGAAGGATTACAGAAATTTACGTCACTTAGAAACAAAAGCCCCGTAAGCCCATAAAGCTTCTGCCATAGAAACAAAACCAGCTTTTCTTTGCGTCTGCTGGCACACAGGAACATCTTCATATTGGTGTTACTATACAGATGATGCTAGAAAAGTGTGTGTTTACAACGGCACCAATATCAACCAGGGGTGTGTGTGTGTGCATGCATGTACATATATATATATATATATGTATTTAAAGAGGATCTGTGTAATCTGTCAAAATCATGGCTTTGTCAGCTTTTCTAGAAGGCGACAGCCTGAGAACAGACAAAACTGCGTGCATGTGTGCCCACAATTAACCTCTGATTACCACACAAAATAAACAAGATTATGATTTTTTTTTCTCACGTGCTGCTTCTTATCACTTCCTATAATCAATTAACATACGTTTTATCAAGACAGTAATCAGCAGTTTGAAATACAGACATCATCAGTTCATGTACCAGTAAGTTGATACCTACAACACTAGTCATCCTGCCTACAAAAAGGGATACTTGGGCAACTGAAGACATACCAGGAATATAATGGCAAAGCCTCTGATCAGAGCACTTCACTGACTGAGCGTGGAAATTCATAAAACGGTACAAAGGCATTATTTGAAAGAACCATTAGGATTTGAACTGCGAACTTTCATTCAACTCGAATTTTGCTAAAACAGCACCACAAGAATTATGTTTAACTGCTTATCCTACCAGCATGGCCAGGCAGTCTGTTTACCTAAAGTTTGTACACAACGGTCCCCACACATACTTGTCTTCTTAGTTTGAAATACTGCCATGCAAAGGCTAGATGACTATTACAAACTGGAAATCCCGATTAAAAATCTCACATGATAGAGCAAGGAATAAACTTTAGAAGTCATATATTCAATTTTACATTTTACCTTTTCCTATAGCATATGTATTCAGTCCATTTAGCATTTTATTTTATTTTAATTTTTTTGGTGGGGGGCATTTCTGGAGAGAGAAGCAACAAAATCGGCATTAACTGATAGATCCTTCTGATCAGGCATGTTTCTTAAATGCAAACGCGTCCCTTTTCTGACTTCGGCTGCATTTTGTATGCGTATGAACTGTTATAAAATTGACATGTAGAGATATAATAAAACACATGATCTTCTCATCAATTCATTCGACCTCGCAGAAGGTTCTGGATGATTCTCCCACTAAACCTCATGGTCCTTTAAAGAACCAACTTCACTATTTTTACAGAAGAGGAAGAAGTGTTTCAACAGAGAGGCTGCACATAAATTGAAATGTTGTTTTCCAAAATCTCTGAACTGTATTAGGCTTCATTAGTGTTAGTGTATATAGAAGGGAAAATTTTCTAAACAATGTGCTGTGAGTGTGTAAATGTCATCTTGTGTACCCGTAAGGTTTGCATACATGCATTTATGCACACAAATGTATGTACACAAAGTAGGAAGTACACCAGCCCTCCTTTGAAGCTTCTGTATTGTCCTGAAACAGGTGCTGTTCTCATCCTACCAAACTGATGCAGATTTCACAGTTGTTGATGCTCCTCTAACCTATTCTGGGGGGAACATCGTTAAATGCTGTGCTGCTCAGGTGGACATTATTTACTTGAATAATAAACATTTATAGTAATATAAGCAATAAGATATTTTTTAAAGGGCTTTCTTAAAAGGTTCTTTAAGAATGGAGATTCCTTTCCAATTGAAATTGTCAGCCTTATAATCAAATACAAATCTGGTGTCCTTGAATAAAAAGCTATTCCTTCAGGCCAGTGAGATAATTCATACCACATAGGACCCTAGCAGTTCTTTGGGGGCAGTATGACAACACAAAGGGTACCATAAGTTGAAGGGGGCACAACAGCCTTCATTCCAATCAATTAAATCCAAAAGAAATGTAATGGTATAAAAGGCACTGCACTTAAAATGAACTGTGGCATCATTCAGCTGTTATCTTAACCTGTCAAAAAAAACAAACAAACCACAAACAGTGGACAGACACCTTCTGGGTTGAGTATGCTGGTAGACACTGGTTTCCGGGTTTAGTATACTGGTAGACACCTTTGCAAGTGCTGAAGTGTGGCATACAATGGCCTAACAGCAGACACAGTTGTAGCGAGCATATACAGACCAGTTTTCTGCACTCAGATTTTAAGACTACAAGATATAAAAGGACACTGCAAACACCAGTTCCCCTTCCGTGAGTCATGGCACTCTTACATCTGGAAGGATTGCCCTGAGCCTCCTTAGTCTATTTTCTGAGAGCATGCAAAATGAGATGACTTTTCCTTACATCAAAATGTTTAATTAATACTAATGACCAATTACAAACATGAGTTCTTTTGCCAGCATTGGCCTTCAGTAAAATATTTCCTCTTGTTCTGTTTTGACGAGACCCAGCCCCCAAGATAGGCTCTGCTGCATACAGCCTCTTTTACATCTTTTTCTGAAGCATGTCAGACCACCATCATGCCTAAACCTTGAGATTCACCTTGGGAAGGATTATCAGAGAATAAAATGCCTCTACTGAGCTCACATCGTAGGATTGCATTTGCCTTTTGCACAGTTTCATCATGCAACACTGCTAAATCGGCCGCTATGTAGGCTGCCAGAGTCATTGGGGGCTGAGGAGTTAACTGAGAAAGTACAATGTCCCCAACACACTCTGCTCCTGGCCCATGCACACCGTGCATCCTGCAAGCCTCAGATGTGAGAAGAGAGCAGTATACAAAGTTTTATTACACCACAGAGCAGTATGGCAGTCAACGTAACAAAACTGTATGTTTGTTCCAGTTACCCAATTTCCAGTTAAAATTGAGTGTGCTATTTTCTATTTCAAGGAATATTAGTGGGAAATACCTTTAACACTTTATGGCTGCATAGCATACTGTTGCATGTTGGAGTATGTCATACAGGGGTTCATTATGCATTACGTCTATGTTCTCATCCTTTATAAAAGTTTGAGGCCACAGTTGCTGAAATTTTCATGTGCTATCCTGCTCTTAATTACCTTTAAGCATCCTGGTCAATAAGACTAGGTTCAGCAGCTCTGACTAATCCAACTACATGACAATACCCTCCATTGCTTAGGAGCATGTGAGAGCACCTGGAATGTGATGGGACCAGCTGGAGAATTTGCCTAGTGTTGATGCAAAGGAAATAATGGTAACATTTTTACAGCTCTTATTTGAGTTGGTTTAATTATCCATCAGTAGTAATTGCAGTGATGCCCTGCAGACAAGCATTATGAATTCACACACACACACAAAAAAAGGCAACAAACATCTACGTAAGCCTTTTTACTCCATCAGCACAGATTTTTGTATATCACTTCAAGTCTGAGCATCAGAACATGGATATAATGATCACACCAAGGGAAAACCAAGACATTTTTTTCTAGTGTGGTAAGTCTTCGGTTTTAACTGTTGTTTATTCCTGAGCATATTGTGATTAAAAGAAGGCTTTTCCTAGACTAATGTTTTTTTTGTTTTTTTTTTTTGTTTGTTTGTTTTTTTTTTTTTATTATAGTTGGATAGCGTCACTTCACTAATTCAGGCTGCCAAGAATTTAATGAATGCTGTGGTGCAGACAGTGAAGATGTCCTATATTGCATCCACAAAGATCATCAAGATTCAGAGTCCTACTGGCCCACGACATCCTGTTGTGATGTGGAGAATGAAAGCTCCAGAGAAGAAGCCCTTAATTAAAAGAGAGAAGCCAGAAGAAATCTATGCAGCTGTCAGAAAAGGTTCTGCAAAGAAGAGAATCCATCCTGTTCAAGTCATGAGTGAATTTAGAGGCAGAGAAGTAGTCTAATATTCTGCCACTTTGTGTCTCTATCTTGAAATTCTTCCCCCTACTTATTTAATAATAATGTATGTTAAGTGTTTTGCTTTCCCCTAAATCTTTAACACTTGCTTAAATTACTTTGAAAACAATGTTGGATTAATTAACAGCACACAGTTGAAAAAATACTCATTGTCTTGCAGTGTCAAACTATCATGTCTTTATACTGCATGGTTTCAGCAGAGCACTTCGGGTGATACATGATGGGACTGTGCTACAGTAGTTGAAAAGCAGGATGCAACGTGCCAAACTCTGCCCCAAGTCCTGCATCTGCTAGGGACAGGCATTCCTTCACTGGGGATGAATGAGGCCAATATTAAACTTCATTGTAGTTTATGACATACAATATTTTTGAACGCTGTTTACTGGGAATGTCCTTTATCAAGATCATTACACTGTGATCAAAACAGCTGGACTGCTTTATGCTAACTGAGAATTTTGGCCTTTACTTTTTATCCTGTTTGAAAGGTCCAAAGATCAACCACCTCTAAGCCCCAGCTTTATATAAAAATAGAGGAAATGTAAACTTCAAAATGTTTGAAGAAACAAGTATTATAACAACATGGACATGATAACGTAATGAAAAAGCACTAACTGCAGCATAGCAATAATAGCTCTTTACAACGGCCTTTGAAACGTTACCATTATTCAGTGTTGTTTCCTACTGTATTCTGTGACCTCTAATTCATCTGGCTGATTGATTATTGCAGTAACAACAGAAACTTTTCTAATCACAGCACAAAAGAACAAGTATGAAATGCATCATTATTCCAAGACTACTGTGGAAGTAACACAGACACATCTTGAATCTGAAGAATGGTGAGATTTTTGCAAGGTAACTAGCCAACTTGATGGCTTTGCTTATGGAAGTATAGTCCCAAACGTAGGACTGTGCTGTCTAGCAACTTGCTAAATTACTGCATTATATTTCAACATACGTAATGAAGATAAGTGATACTACTCTGATTATCACCATTCTGTAAGATTCTTATGGAAAGATTTTTTTTCTAAATCTGTTTAAATACTAAATCTGCTTGGACTGACTTTTTAAAGCAAAAGTCTTCCCTGCCCAATCACTAGGTTTTCCCAGACCTCACCTAACTAAATGTCTTTCCTTAGCAAGTAGATTTTTATTTTTTTTTTGCTCAGGTATAAGGGCCCACTCAAATTGCAGAACTTCATGATGCATCATTGACTACGATTAGGAGGAGGTTCCAAAGTATGGGCTGCTCTGTCATATACTACCATGTTTGCACAACAGTGCCCCTAAACAGCACCACATAGGCAGCAGAAATAACCTTGAACTGTTTGTTTTTTTTCCCCTCTTGTGGCTACTCTGTAAGAGCCTGTGCACAGGATCAAGACAGTGGAGCAATATAAATTTCTAGGCTGTTGGTTAAGAAGCTCCACAAAACCTATAGTGATCATGCATTAAAGATTTTACAGATCAGTATTCCACTGTCCCCGACTTTACTATCTGTCAAATGAAACAAAATGAAGAAGCTGGGGGTGGGGGGGGAGAGAAATGGCACTTTTCCAATACAAATCCCCTCCAATATTTTCACAAGATCTTAGCAACATATGCAGGTACTTGCTAATCCTTTTAGGACTACACAGTGGGAAGCAACTAACAGTCAAGTAGAGCAAGTAGATACAATATAGAGCTGGTCATATGATATACTTTCAGTATGTCTGCTAGCACGCTAAGCAGAGCTGAGAAAGATTTTTTTTTTGTGGTGCATTGCTCAGGAGAGTATAGATTGTCACATCTTAAAGCTAAAATCTCCAAATAATAATTCAGGTTCTGGCCCACCCTCTTTGATTACATATTTCTCAAACAATATTTAAGTCCAAAAGGCAACAGGCAGATTGGAATAATCTTGGGCTTGGGGGGCATTACTCGTGAAAAAGAAAAAAAACACACCTCACATCTCTGGGATACACCTTTGGTATCAGTTCACATTGATGTTAGATGTTCGTAACTTATGTTTTGTTTTCATATTATTAATTAAAAGATTGTACACCACTTTCAGCATTATGGGTTTTGTTTGGATGTGTTTCTGTTCTAGTCTCCAGCAGTAGCAAAACCCTGTTCAAATGCCTGCCAGGCTTTCTTATTCCTGTAAGTTCCAGCTTCTCTAGCATACTAAGTGTGATCTTACTAGCCTGGTTTACATTAGAGCTCTTCTAGCACTCTCATCACTAAGACACAGTTTATTGCTTAATATAATGTTCATGACTACAATACCAGTCACAGCTCTTTTTGCCTGGCCATTCTCAATAGCCAGTTTCATCTCAGCATCCAATACTGTTCCTATTACATAGGGATTTATTAGGGGGGAAAAAATATGTAAATGAACAAGGCAATCAAAAGCCACAGTTGCTTTCTGAGAAGAGCTAAAAGAATGATGTGTTAACTGTATCTAGACTTCTGCTTCTTGGCCAAAATTCAAACCCAAGTGAAAACAGGACAAGGTGAAGTTTATTCCTACCTAAGGAGACAGAGAGGTGAGAAACAAATCCTGAAGTTCTAAAAAATCTGTTGTATTAGCTCATTACCTCCCTCAGCAGATCTGGAAAGTAGGCAACCTTCTCTGCCACTATTAATAATGCTGATGGACAATGTGCTGCTCAGTATGCTTTATTCAGACACAGTTACTTACTTCATTCTGTAGCTTGCACGTTCCTTTCTAGCCCTGGTTTTCAGAGAATATTTTTTCACTTTGCTGTTGTTTTGCCTTAGTGTTTGCATGATAACCATAGTGTAGGAGCATTGACCTTGCAAACTAGGTTCTTAGCTAGAGTAGAGTGTTACAGGGCTTTCTCATTCCAGCAGCTCGCATTGTTTCATTAGCTTACCTCATCCACTCCCCGTTACTACATTATGGTACAAAGCGTGACAGACAACTTAGGACAGTTTTATTTAAAAGAAAAAAAAAAAGTCCATAGACTATGCAGTCTATGGACTACATAGATTATGTAGTTTGTATTGTTTGTTCTTGAAGCACATTAGTAAAAGAAAACAAATTTAAACCGTTTCTGAGAACACTGAAGCTGTTGATTTTTGATTATTAAAAGAAAACCCACAACCTGGTTGCATCACACTGCTCTCACTGCTTATGTTGTTTCCTGTAATATTTAGTGCTTTTCATTTATAAAAGGCAGTTCCTGTCACTGTAGATTGCACTGAGCATAGCTTCCAGTTTGTCCCAATTCCTCTCTTATTACCTGAACTTAGTGAGCCATTCCTGGTAAGTAACGTAAGTCCTCTAATACCTTGGAACTTAAGAGAACTCGGAAAAATTAAATGCGTGGCCCTCCACCTCTGCCCACCCCTGAAGCCTGCCTTTTTGCACAATAAATCTGCTTTGACATAACTGATTGACTGTGTTCGGAAGGGAATGGTATAGAATAAGGTGGGAAACAGCTGGTAACCCACTCCTGGTTTGGCCCACTCATGCCATTAACTTGATAACTATAGAGACGCTTTACAGCTGTGTCTTCAGTGGAGATGACTAGGCAGTGCGACAACACACAGGTCTGCCATTCCAGATGGTTATAAAAGGTTTTTTAGTTCTTTTGAGGGCATCTTGTGCTGTTTTCAGTGTGTTTACAGTTGAAGCATTTAAGAAACAATGTGTTTATAAATGAAGTTTAAATGAGTTTTTAGAAGCATTATTTCTGAAGAAAATATTTGTAGGTTTTCACCAACAGTAGACAATAAAATTCTACGTGGTCATACCTGTTGTTTATGCTCCCACAACTACTCGTTCTTTGTGTACTGTTCTTGGTTAAACCCTAGCGATTGCCCATATATTTGGCTCAGGAAGTAAGTACATAATAAAGAGCCCAATCCCTTTGGTTGGATTAAAACAAAACTGCCATTCATTTTCAGAAAAGAAAAATTTAAAATCAAATACAGCGAATAATGACTATCCAAGCAAATAAATGTGTTTATTTGCTTGTGTCTGTTCAACTATATTTTTTGTTTGTTTGTTTTTCCCTCTTTTTTCTTCTCCTTTTTAGCAGTAAGAGTAAGAAGGGACCTTGTACCCTTTTTACACTCTGCAGGGAGACCTTTCCTCCTCTGCCTGCCTTTACTCCCCAATCCTCTCACTCCTCATGAAAATCAGGGTAAGAGGACTTCTTGTTTTAAGTGAGAAAAGCTTAACTTTCTTTAAGGCTAAAACAGCAGTGAAATTTAAAACCTACTTTCTTAGAACATGTTTTGGATGAAGTGAAACTATCAATAGACAATCACAAGATTGTGGAACTGAATCACTGGTAGCAGATAAACGTGTCTGTTCATCCATCCCGATTCTGCAGCCTCCTCTGCATCGCCTCCTCTGCATCCAGTTCAATTTTGTTTTTTAACACTGAGGTAAGCTCTGGATATACACAATTGCTAATAACCCACTTCCTCTCCAACAATCTACTAAAAACACTGTTGTGCTGTGAAGAAAAAGTTAATATAACAAAAGCAGTGATGAGAAATTGTCCAACAGAGTGCAATTTAAGAGTATATTAGTAATTAAATAATAAAGATTAAGCAGATTACACCATTTCATTTGAGTTTTCCGTGGCATATCAGAACTGATTTACTCTGTCAACATGGTTAGTGGGTTTGTTTTGTAAAGCTTCCTTTGAAGGTGATAAAAACGCTCCACACCACTGATGAAAAAATTTTACAGATTTTTTGTTGCACACTGTAAGTGACACTGCTGCAATGACAAATACCCACCTTTCAATTAATAACCTTAACACTTTGGAAACTTTGTAGTAAAAAAAAAAGATGTATCCAAAACAGAAATGGCTTTAGAGTTATGTAAAACAAACCAAGAAAATGCTTCAAAGTCCCTGGTGTTTACCATCAGGGGAAGAAACTTGTTGCTACAGTCCAATAAATGGAAAACTGAGGGCCTAAATTTTGACTGCAAAATACAAGAAATATTTAAGATCTAAATCTGCAGTACAAGAGATTGATCTGGCAATTTTAATTTTAAAGAGTTCTTAATAGGATAGGAAACTATTTTCTACTTCCTGATAGTGAAAATGGCTGCATATAAGCAGGCTGTAGACTAAGGAGACATCTTGTCATGCAGGATGATGTTTCCTTTGGAGTCCATCTTCTACGAGCCTGGCTATTTTAGAGCTATTAGCTTCTCTGCTGTGGTTCTCAATTATTTATACATGATACAGCAAATGATTTAAAAGCAGCTGAAAATAGTCATGTGGCTCATCAGCTGGGGGGCAGATTGTACCTCCTGGCACTCCTCTTCCATGGAAGCAGAGGGACCAAATGTCAAGGGAGCTGGTGCTAACTGCTTCAGCCAGCCTGCTGGTAGGTATTTTGTCTGCTTAGCTCCCAGAGCTCCCTCATTAGATAGAAACACGACAGGAAATAGCTCCCACGCTTTCAAAACACAGAACAGAGCATCAAGCTCTGTTTGCCCAGCTAGACAGCACAGCTGACAGGAGGAGAGAGAGGAAGAAAACTAACTTTTCTTTGTATTTTTTTAAGCTTCTCTGGTGGAGAAAAACATCTTTCAAATGAAGGATTTTTCCAGGAAAAAAGAATTTCCCTGGAGGGAAAACCTTACAAGAATTGAGGAAAACCTTACAAGAATTGAGGAAATCTTTGCCTTCCAATCCCTCTGTGAACCCAATCTCTGTTTTCTCCATCCTAAATGTGTTCCTGACCACAGATTTTACAAGTGTATAGATTTTGCATTACTCATCCAGGTTATTTTACAGTAACTTATGCAACTATTGGAAAGCTTCCTAACAGTAAGTTACACCGATTACGTTCATGTTACTACTTATTTCAATCTGAGGTACTAAGGACTTCACGCAGCAAGCCACGAAGTGCAAACCCTCAGTGATGTCTCTTGGAGCTTGAATAGGCAGCAACCAACAGAAAGGATCAACAAAACATTCCTACTTAGACCTGATAAGCATGTCCTATGAAAAAACGTCATGAGGTTTGTACCATATTCCTCTGCTTAATAGTGACCACTACACAACTGTAACTAAGCACTTTAAACTAAAAGGAAAGGGAGAGGGACCAGCACTATAAATGCAATGTTGCATGTAGATGGTACCTACTTGTACATTAAGATTCAAGCTGTCATGGCAGACCACGCCTTTAGGCACCAACAGGTGAGGTCCTGCACACTTGGGATGTGGCTGCTGTCACATCTTCCTGTATTTTACCCTTTACTGTCAGGTGAAGGAATGGGCTTGCCTGGAATACCACCCTGTATTACTGTCCATCATCTGACACATCCTAACCACAATGTGCCTCTGTGTGCTCCAGAAGAGTCAATTCCTCTGATGCTCAGGAACTTAACTGGGAGTCCTCTGGCTCCCCAGAGGACCTTGGCTTGCCTGTCTGCAAGGTTGGCCAGGAAGGGAGGAGAGGAATGACTGAATCCCCTCCCACAGCTTCCTAGCATTATTCACATACAGCTACCAATTAACCCACCCGTCCTTTTCTTTTCCGATCCACCCTTTAATTTCCATATATACCATTTCCATATATCCCATTATCCCATCCCATTTTGATATTCATGCCCTTCCTTCAGCATTAGCTTTCTGTTCTCAGCCCTGGACACTGCATTTTCTTTAAGCAAGAGGTTTTCAACATTTCTTTAAGCATGAAGACTTTCAACACCCTCACTCCACTTCCCAAGGTCCCATTTCGCTTTATCATCTTCTTGAAACATTACAAAAAAAGAACATGGAAAAATGGGTGTGTGGCTAGCTCAGCAGCCAGGCTAGATCTGCACAGCTATTCTGAGTTCAGTGGTAAAATATCCTCTTGACAGTAGTTACTGTAGTCCTTCCTCACTAGCAGTTCTTTAAAAATGTTATCCCTCATTCCGGCTGGCTAAGACCGATCGGTCACCTTGAAGTTTGCTTTTGAACAGGTAGAAAGCATGCCACCAGTAAAGAGATATGCTCCCCCAAAGAAAATAAGTCTTCCTTGCCCTTTCCTCTTGCTGCATTTCAAACAACTTGTCTTTATTTAGGCAGGTTGGGGCCAACTTTAAAATACCACAATACAAAATATGAAGGTTATTAATACAGCAATCTAAAGGGCAAAGAGCTTATTGGTAGTGTGAGCTACTGAGTCTTGTGGGTGGTGATGGCACATCCTCAAGCACTCTGTTATCATAATGCCTGGGCTGAAGACTCCATTAATTTTCTGCATCACCAGCAGCTGAGGACCAAAGCTGACAGCCAAAAATATATGAGTCCAGTGTAAGCAAAATACATGCACAAATAAGCCTTCCCATCACCTAGAATACAATACCAGAACATAACAGGTCAGAAAACACATTGCAAAAGAAGGAATATAATGAAAACTACTCCCAAGTAAAAAAAAAAAAAAAAAAAAGCCCTTACTATACCAGTTTTAAGAAACATATTTCAGTTCCCAAGCAGACGTATATTTATCTTTCCTCTATGTGAATTCTGATGTCTCAAGTGCGCTAAAATAGCATCACATATTTTGATTTTTTAGAGTATGAAAGGAGAAAAAGTGAACCACTCTTCCTATATTTTTGCTCAAAGTATATATAGAACATGCAAAGCCTCCCTGAAGAGTGACTTAGGCATTAAGACATGCGTGTAATTCTAGGAAAAGATTTTTCAATTGATTTTGGTTGGCTACTCATCAGACATAACAGTATATATTTTTCTTAAAAAAAATAAAATAAAAATGTTCAACCTTATTTTAGATGAAGCAATAAAGGTTTTTTTTTGTTTTTTTTTTTTTTTTTAAAAAAAGCTCTCTGCTGGTCTTACTTCCTCATTCAGTAACTGTGCCCTACTACTGCAATCTCCTTTTCCTTAAACAGGGTATCACCTCAGAATCACTTCGGCACAAAATTCACAGCTAAGTAGTTGAATCTTATTACTGTGGATATTTGACTTTTATATACACAGACTGAACCAAAACTCGAAAGGAACATTCAATATGATGTGTAGATAATGGATACAGACCTACTGAAACCATTATTGCCAAGTTATTAGATAACATATGGTAGACTAATCATTTGTTGGTTTGACCTTTTTGACAAGTTCATGTAGTTAATACAAGTAGTAATGAAAAATAGAATTATTTGAGATGTTGTATTCCCTATAACATGCAAATGTAGGCTAAAATACTCAGTGTTTGGGAAATCTTGACTGAAATACATTTAATTTTTGATTTGTCTTCAACACAATACTGTATCTTTTGGTATTGCCACTGAATTTACACCTTACATTATTTGGTCAGACTACGGTAACATGTTTTACATTGTGACTCACATTGAAAAAACATACTTCTTCACATTTCATCATGGTGGTAAACAACTTCCACTACAAAGAACCCCCATGGATCTGCCAGTATTGCAACAACCACAGCTAAGAATGTGCTTAAATGAACTATCACCAGGCCTGCTCCTGGGATCGTACCTATGTGCTTTGAAGAATAAGAACCACACTGCTTGCACATTTCATTAAGGTAACAACCTGTCTCAAGAATCTGCCAAGTATAGTCACTGTAAGAAACATTTCTTCCCAGAAGTTGCATGGACTGTTACAAAAGATGTAAATGTGAAAAAGTAGAAGCTTGCAACTCAGATTTCACTCTTGGCAAGCTCCTGGCACATTCCACCTTTCAGGAAAGCTCTGTTCCTTTAGATACAGAGCATACACACGCCACAAATTCGAAAAGCGCAGAAATACAGTAAAAACA